GTCCACCTGGAGGTCACTGTCCACTTGGAGGTCACTGTCCACTTGGAGGAGACTGGCCACCTGGAGGAAACTGTCCACCTGGAGGAGACTGTTCACCTGGAGGTCACTGTCCACTTGGAGGTCAATGTCCCCTTGGAGGAGACTGGCCACCTGGAGGTCACTATCCACCTGCAGCAGACTGTCCACCTGGAGGAGACTGTCTGCCTAAAGGTCATTGTCCACCTGCAGGTCACCATCCACCTGGAGGTTGATGTCCACTTGGAGGTCATTGTTCACGTAGAGGTTACCCTGCCCGTGGAGGCCACTGTTCACCTGGAGACTGCTGTCCACATCACAGGAAACTCTACCTGGAGATCGCTGTTCATTCTGGAGGTCACTGTCCACATAGAGGTGACTATCCACCTGGGCTGAGCTGGAGCCAGGAGCAAGGGGTCTGAGCGAGGCTCTGGAGGGCGGAGCCTACAGAGAGACTTGGGTGTGGGGCCGCCTGTCCTGGGCCAGGGCCGCACGGAGCAGCAGGAGGAAGCAGGTGCTGCTGGTGGGAAGGCCCCCTCCGAGCTCTGTCAGAACCAAAGGGCGCTTCCCCCCTCTGAAGGAAAAGTCAGGTGAGGCCATGGAGTGGAAAGAAGGCCCTCTGGTGACTTGTTCTCAACGCTGTGATGTTCAGAAGCCCCTATTCTACCTGAGACGGGAGCAGAGCCTCTCGGAGTGAGCTCCGTGTGGGGGGCGGGGCCTCTGCGGCCTGGACTCCCCAGCCACCTGCTCTGGTGCCAGAGCATACCTGGACGGCGGTGGCGGGAGGTGGCAGTTGGCCCCTTCTCTGTGCTCCTGGCCTGGCCAGTCTCTGGGAGGCGGGAAGCTCCTGACCCTATTCCTGAGACCAGCGCCGTTTGCCGGACAGGAAGCGTCCAGTTCGCATGTGACCAGACGCCTCGGAGCCAGCTGGTCAAGCGAAAAGCAAAGTACCTGACACGATCCAGTGCTGAGCAGAAGAGTCAGCCTCACGTGGCAAAAAGGCTGTAATACAGGCGCCCTGCACGCTGAACTACTCCCTCCAGGAGACACATCTGAACACATACTCAAGTGCTTTTTCATAAACAAGACAATTATCATACATTTCCCTTTTGGTAGGAGCGGTGATAAACACTTTAAGTTTTGTAGCAAAATGAGGGTGTGGATGGCACTCACCGCCTGGCACAGGATTGGGTATTTGGTGCGGTTCACGCCGCCGGCAAACACTGTGAAGGTCAGAGCCGCGTGAAAGCAGATGTTGAGGAGCGTGTGCCGGCCTTTCCGGCTGATCCGGATGGCACTGTGGGAGACGGAGATGTCCCATCAGGACCCAGCATGCAGAGTGAGGTGCACAGATCAGCCCTCTTCCCCAGTTGCCATGCTCCGTCCACGTGGGGACCGAGCTGAAGACCCCCAAGGTGTCACCGAAAGAGGCCGGGGGAGCCCACCCAAAGGACCAGATGGATGGGAACACACAGGGTGTGTGCGGCACCCTCAGTGTGTGGTTATTGGACGTTTTTGTGTTAAATCGACTTGGAATGCTAGACTGGAGGGTTTTGAGAAATCTCGAACCTGGTCATTGGACAGCTGCTAATACTGAAACCTGAGACTCTATGCCTTGTCTGGTCACAGAGCTAGAGGGTGGGACACACCTGGCCACAACTCCTGATTCCCAGGATGGAGTTCTTCTTCCCTCTCTGAGCAGATGTCTGGTACCTCAAGAAGAGGGCATGACTGTGACTGACTGGAAGCAAGACCCCTGTAGTCTGTGGCCTAGGACCTTGCCTATGGCTGTGACCACCCCCATGACTTGGCCTCACCCCAGCTACAGCCATGGCAGAGATTACTCATCCTATTCTTACAGCTGTAATGGTGGCCACAGTTTCTCCATGGCCTTGGACATGCCCAACCCTCTCTCCATGATCATGGCCTCGGACATGCCCAACCCCCTCCCCATGATCATGGCCTCGGACATGCCCAACCCTCTCCCCATGATCATGGCCTCAGACATGCCCAAACCCCTCCCCATGATCATGGCCTCGGACATGCCCAACACCCTCCCCATGATCATGGCCTCGGACATGCCCAACCCTCTCCCCATGATCATGGCCTCGGACATGCCCAACCCTCTCCCCATGATCATGGCTTTGGATATGCCCAACACTCTCCCCATGACTGTGGCCTTGGACACACCCAAGCCTCTTCTCATCACTGGTTATGCCCACAGTCTAGGCTTTGCTCATGAATTTGATTATGGGCTTGATCCTGACCATGGCAGAGACCCCTGCTCACATTTCACAGTGCATCTTCAAGTGATGCAGACACCCCCAGGTCATTTCCCCTCACAGGCAGAGGTGGCCAGGAAACCAGCTCAGAAGAAAGACAACTAGAGGCCCCCCTGCCCCGCCCCAGATTAAAAGGCACAACGCAAAGGTGTGTGAGGGTTCCGCGAGCTATGCTAACTTCCCAAGGCTGTGGGCTCTTGGAGCACCTGAACTGACCCTGGGCCACTGGAGGAAGTACCTATTTCACCCCTTTTGATAAGAACATAGGTGGCCCTGGGGGAGGCCTGGAGTGGAAGGGCATGGCTGTCCTTGAAAACTCAGCGGAGGATTTGGCCATGTCTGCCATGTAGGCAGGTGGTCGGTGAAGTACCTTCCAGGGACTTCTCACTACGTGGGGTGGGGAGGGTCTCGTTTTAGGCTTTGCATTTGAAGGTGGAAGCATGCAGTCTTGGTGCCGAGTGGGGCCTTACTTTTGGTGCACGACGTAAGTGATGACAGAGGCGAGGAGACAGAGCAGCATGACGGCGGTGCAGGCATACACCACGGGGTGCAGGAACTCCCCTGGGTCCTGGGGCAGGGAGAGCACGGTTTTCAAATCCTGGATAGAGCACAGAGCAGAACGAGTGGGCAACGTGGCGAGGAACTGTGCACCTGGCGGAGCCACCTGGCTCCCCCCAGGTCTGGCCTCTCCCCTGAAAGCGGTCGGAGGTGGCTCCTGAGTGGAGCGGAGGTTTGTGACGGGCGCCCCGCTTTCTCGGAGCGCGGCTGTCTCCCCAAACCTGCCCGCGCGAGGGTCTGGATGGATGGAGCCGTGCAGATGTCCCGCCTCACGCGCATCAAGATTCTGCTTTACGAGATCCCCCAGGAGAATTTTGTGTCAAGCGAGTCCCTGGAGCTGACTCAGGTCGGTGGAGGAAAAGCAGTTGCCGTGATGGGTCGGCAGGGCCCCGAGGCCCTCAGGAGAGCACCCGCTTGGCACGAGATTTACGCGCCGGGACCACGTTCCCAAAACTCCAGCAATAGGAAAAACGGCCGCAAAGCGCATGGTCATGTGGGCGGGTTTGCGCGGCCTGCGCTCCAAGCTCCAAAGCCCTGGAGGGGCCCCCAGTGCACAGACCCTCGTCTGCTGTGCGGGCTCCACGGGCTGGGAGTCAGGAGCCCTGGCCTCGTGCATCTTTGCCCTCTGCCCTCTGACCCCCCGAGCAACGCTCCAGACACTTCCTGTGTTGTAACTCGCAGCGTCACAGGGAAGCCCTGCTGTGGACTGCGCCAAGTCCCCGGAAGCACAGGCTGACATCCTTGTGCCCCATGTGACTAGTGGAGGCGGCTGTCACGGAGGCGACGGCCATCACAAGAGGTCATAGGGTGAGGCCTCGTTCGACAGGACCCACGTCCTTATAAGAGGGAGACTAGGACACGACCTGCCCAGAGGAAGGCCATTTGAGGACACAGCAGGAAGGCAGCCGTCTACACGGCGGGCTATTTCTCATAGCCCTGTGACATCTGATCTTGAACTTCCAGGCTCCGGGACAGAGAGAAAGACAATTCTTTATTTTAACCTGCTCTGTCTGGGATGCTGGTTGCAGATCCCCTGGCCTCCCAAGGGGTTCTGGAGATGGACCCCCACTCCTTCCCAGGGCACTGGTTACCGCCTCCCTCCCCCTCCCACTCACCGGGCACTTTAAGGCCCCTCCCCAGCCCAGGGTGCTGGTTGTGTCCCCTCTGCCCCCTTCCCCAGGTCTTGACCCCTCAGCTCATGCTCTGAACCGCGGGCTCTACCAGCATGGCCTTGGTACTTGCCAGGCTTGGGGGGCAGGTGAGGGCAGGTGAGGGCTGTGACCATGGAGGCTGCCCCGGGGAACCCCGGGGAGACAGTGCTGAGCTGCCCAACTGTGAGGACAGGCTGTGGTCAGGGTGGGGAGTCAGCAGCCGTGCCCGTGGTGGATGTGCCCACCCTGGGCCATGTCTAGATGCATGGTCAGCGCAGCGGGAGGTGGCTGGTGCTCCTCCAGGAAGGCGCCCAGCCTGAGTCACGTGGGAAATCGAGAGAAAATCGTCCCTGCAGGGCCTTGGCCTCGCCATGGCCGGGAAGCTTCTGTGTCCAAGAGCTCAACCTGCTTCATTTCCTGGGGGATAATTTCTTGTCAGTCCAGCTGAGATGAGGCCCTGGCCAGCCGGGGGACAGCCGAAGGGCCACCCTGGTGTCCAGCCATGGCCTCTGTCCCCTTATCTGCTCCTGCCAGGGACTTTTCCAAGGAGGTCTCTCTGCTGCCATGATGATAGCAGATGGGATCCTGTCACCAGGGAAAAGGTTCCAAGTGACCTGGACACGACCCAGACTCCTCCTTGTCTGGTCACTGAGGGATCTAGCTGACTACCAGAGCCGGAAGTAGCACCCCTGGCCCAGCAGATGACCCGATGTAACCGAAGGAGGGGCACTGTGTCACTCGGCAGGCCGTGGGCTGGACACTGTGGTGATCCCCTTATGGTCCTGACTGTCCTTCGGCCAGGAAGCCTGAAGGGCAGGTGTGGACGTGCACAGAACACCGAGGACTCCTGTCGGGATGACTGGGGTTTCAGCAGGACCCGTGCTGCACATATGGCCCCAATTCCCATGAAATTTTGAGCCCAGGAGGAGAGACAGCCAAGGAGGCCGGCCTCAAGGTGACAGGGTTCCAGGGCCCTCTTGGGGAAGTGAGTGTCCTGCCTGATGCAGCTGACCAGGCCCCACCCCCCCCCCCCCCAACACCGAGGCTCAGCCCCGGGGGGAGGGTCTGCGGCCTGGGTTCCTGCAGGGCTACCCACCCTGGCCACTAACCCATGGCTAATGGAGGCTTCCTCCTAAGGTACACACATCAGGCAGGCCTCGATGGCTGGGGCAGGCACCTGCTGGGCCCTCCATCCTGCAACACAGAACTTCTGTCCGTGTGAGGACAGGTTTCTGTGACGTGGGACTTAATTGCCTGTTGCTGAAGAAAGAACAGGTGTTTTTTGTTTTTAATTTTTTAATGTTTTTATTTATTTTTGAGAGAGAGAGAGACAGAGCACGAGTGGGGGAGGGGCACAGAGCGAGGGAGACACAGTATCCGAAGCAGCTTGGGGCTGTGAGCTGTCAGCACAGACGCGGGGCTCGAACTCATGAACCGTGAGATCATGGCCTGAGCCGAAGTAGGACACCCAACTGACTCAGCCACCCAGGCCCCCCAAGAGTAAGTGTTTTATAAGAAAGGTGGAGCGGGGCCGGGGCGTCCCAGCTGAACGGGCCTGCTGGGCTCCTGTTGGTGTCCCGCTCCACTGGAAGCGCTCACACACCCAGCATCCCAAGTTCTGGAGCGCTTGCCGTGCGTGATGGTGGGAAGGGCGCGCCCTGTGGGGCTCCGGAGAGCCCCAAGGGTTTGACACTTGTCACAGGCGGCCAGCGCCAGCTTCCAGCCAATGGAAAATCACTGCAAAAGTCGAGGAAAGCAAGTTTCTGTGGTCAAATCCTGATATCAGATGATCTTCTCACTGTCCATTTCTTCTGAGAGTTGGACGCTGCTGACAGGTGTGGAGCGGGCCCGGCAGGCTCTTTGCAAGTCAGTCCTGATCGCGTCCCAGAGACGTGCCCGGGCCCTCGTGTGCATAATTAGTTCTTTTCACAAAGACGATGGCTTTTAACCTGGTGTCTAAAAAACACTGGCACTTCTCTTGGAGCCCCCTGGCTGCTGGGACCGGGTTCCTGTGCACATAATGTGAGCAAGCTGCTGGCGGAGCCCAACCCAAGCATGTTTTCTCACCAGTGTGCGCGGCACGCCTCGGGCTGAGGCCTGGGGTGGGCCCACACCTCTGGGGACTCGCAGTCCCTTCGTGCCCTGTCTTGGGGCTCCGTCACCCCTCCCCCAGAGACCACCGCCTTCCTGCCGTGTTCGCAGCCCTGACTCTTGGTTGGAGGTGGGGGCAGGGACGGCGGGAGAGGAAGGCAAAGTCTGCAGCGACGCCTGGTGCCCTGCGTCCCCGCCCTGCATGTGTGCCCAGGGTTGGAGAAGTGCGTCCGGTGGCCAGGACCCTCATCACAGAGCTTACGTTCGAGCGCATCCTACCCGCCAAGTCTTATCCACACACACTTCATGCTGAGCCAGGGGAAATGAGACCACCGCTCCCGCCACAGGCAAACGCGTCGGGAGGTCAGTTCGAGACACAGCGTGTCCCGATTGCGGCGCCCGGGCCAGCTCACGCACGGCCGAGGTCACCCTGCTTCAGGGATGCGTTCCCATCCGAGGGCCTGGCTTTGAGCGAGGCAGCCAGGGAGGCTTCTGATCCCAGAAGAGCGGTGCCAAGTGAGTTGTAGCGGAAACAGAGCCTCCCTTCCTTTCGGCTTCTACTTTCTTCCTGCAAGTTAGTGACCAAGGGCGCCTTCTACATTTTTAGAGATGACGCTTAAAAGTCAAAGCAGAGGGGCGCCTGGGTGGCGCAGTCGGTTAAGCGGCCGACTTCAGCCAGGTCACGATCTCGCGGTCCGTGAGTTCGAGCCCCGCGTCGGGCTCTGTGCTGATGGCTCAGAGCCTGGAGCCTGTTTCTGATTCTGTGTCTCCCTCTCTCTCTGCCCCTCCCCCGTTCATGCTCTGTCTCTCTCTGTCCCAAAAAATAAATAAACGTTGAAAAAAAAAAATTAAAAAAAAAAAAAGTCAAAGCAGGGAAGGCAAAAGGGAGACACTATTTTATATTTTAGGGTTCACACATGCACAGGTTCCTCCCGGAGGGCCCGCGCTGCAAGTGTCCCACGGACAAAATCCTCGTGGTGTGCGGGGCTGACTCCCCGGGACACGTCCCTCCGGGGCCCTTCAGACCAGAACGGACCTCACGCCCGAGAGGCTGGGCTCAGTCCAGACAGCCGCTCCCACCGCTGTGGCCCCCAGCCCGCTGTCCCTGCTCACTGCTCTGCCTTTCCAAGCTGCGTGGCCATGTCTCTCCTTCTGGGAAACCGAGGCTCCATCGTCCCACGGGCTGGCCTGTGTCCTCCGTGGAGCCTGGAGGCGCAGAGCCCTGGTCTGGGGTTTGCGGGCATTTCCCCTGGTCCTGAGGCTTACCCTCCTTTTATGCTTTATTATTATTTTAGTTGGGTGTGTCTTTTGGTATGTTTTGCAAATAAATCACCTAGATGTTAAGAGAGACAGGAAGGAAGGAGGAGGGAGGTCTTAAGTCAGGGGCCAGCTGCGGGGCGCAGGGAAGGGGCTCTTCTCCCCAGGAGGCGCAGACCCTCCTCGCCGTCCTCTCTGCCTCTGCTCTGTACCGACCGAGACTGATCTCGCTGTTAGCCCCCAACGCCCCTTGTCTGAGTTTTTAATGATCACTGTATCTTATTGGTCCGTCCATGGCAGCGTCCCGGAGGGACGCAGAGGCAAAAGGTAAGTAATTTATTCCTCTGGAGCACAAATTATCCTCACTGGACGTCACATTTGTACAGCTGGTGGGTGTTTCTCTCACACTTTCCCCGTGTGGGAAATATGGCACAGGGACTGCGCCGGTCCCTGCCCCTCAGGCCTCTACGTCCATGGTCTTTTCAGGGGTTTTAATTCCATTGTTGCTTTTTCAAATGTGGGGTGCTGATGTGCAGAAAAGGGGTGTCCTGTGTCTTTGGGACTCCTCTGCTCCAAGCAGAGCTGGGGGCAGGCCTGGCTTCTCACCCTGTCCTGGCTTCCAGCCCCTGCTGGACGTGACAAAGGATAGTCTGATGACACTGCGGCCAGCCCTGAATTCAGGGCGAGTGCGAGCTCCGTGGGGTCCTTGGCAGCCGCTGGCACCTGCTGGGTCTGGGTCATACCAAAGTGAAGCCACTGAAGGGGGGGTCTCTGCCTCTTGGGCTCAACATTAGTGAGCGGATGGACCTGTCCTCTGAGGTCCCCTTGATGTCCCAGTGATCAGAGGAGTCCCCACGACGCCTTGTCAGCCACGGGGGGTGTGGCCGGGAAGGCAGAGCTTGTGCAAAATGAACGTGGCCTCCCTCACAGCGACCACGCCGCTCCTCGGGTGAACCACGAGACCTACGCTGTGAAAGGAAACAGGAAGAAAGCGACAACTTCGGACAACCTCTTACTCCCTTCCAAGATGCCACCGAGCTTTGGGGAGGAAACTGTGCGGATCACAGAAGGCCACGGGGTGCAAAGCAATGCCTGTCTGGCAGCTGCTCGGACGTGAATACCAACAGGGCCACTGTCCACACCTGCCCCGTTTGCTAACAGCCATGCTGGTGGCCTGTGTCCTGCAGGCCCCACAGGGGAGCGTCCGGGCTGCCTGTGCCTTCACGGTCCCACCGGCACACTGACAGCAGACGGGGCGCCTGTCCAGGAGGGAGGACAGAGCCTCAGTGTAACGCAGGCGTCAGCGTGGCCCCCGAAGCGCTTCCGCAAGACCGTGCGTCTTAACGCTCAGGAGCCAGAAAGCGGGTGGCTGGCCTCGGTGTCAGGGAAGCGGACCGCCAGCCCGGGCACACGTCTGGCTGGTGGTGTGAGTGCAGCAGTGTGGGCGGGCAGGGGCGGGCCACCCTGCTGGCCACAGCCTCTGGTCTTCCTTGTGCCCTGGGCCCCTGGGGTGAAGCCACGCAGGTGTCCACACTACAGTCTCAGGGACACACGCAGGGAAGCATTTGCAGCAGAGCGGCCCCCACGCTGGGCTGGGCTCTCCATTTCTTCTGGAGACTCTCCAGTGTAAACGTTATTTGTTAAGAATCAAAGCCCAACGAACTGCGGAGATCCTAAACCCTCCGGGCAAGTGTAACCCGCCAGTTTTCACTGTCCTGGGCTGGCCAGTGTCCAGCGTCTGGGACCAGAACACAGTCACTGGGGACTGAAGGCAGAGTATAGACGGGACGCAGAGTGGACATGGGGAGGGTCACACAGCGGTGCTCGGAGAGGCCAGGGAAGCTGCTGCAAGGTCCCCCCCCCCCCCTGCCCCCCCAGCCTCCTGCAACACCTCTGAGCTCACCCTGTCTGCAAAAAATGCCTGACAGGTTCCATTTGCAAATAAGGCTCTAACCTGAGGGTGAAAAGCTGGAAAAATGCCAAGGGGGGGCAGCCCTGTTTGGCAAGGCACCCTGGGTCCCCTAAAAAGCTGGGGCCCCGGCCAGGCCGGCAGCCTCCCCAGGAGTGGTGAGCCTGGACGCACAACCTCTAGGCTGCCTGTCACCCTCCCGGCCGGCGAGGCTTGGAGCAGTGGCATGCACAATGCTGAGTCTTGGCCACAAGCCCGACCTTGTTTGGGCGTCTCGAGCAGAACAGGAAGGAAACGAACAAGTGACTCAGACAGACCCCCCACCCCCCCATGGACAGACAATCGGTGCATTTGAGTCATTGCTGGCGTCCGAGCCACGGTTGCTGCCACACGTGCTGCCCTGTGGTTATCGTCCTGTGGCATTCCCTGCACGCGCTGGGCCCTCCACCACTGGGCCCTCCACCACCCTCCTTCACAAACACACACAATGCATTATTTACCCGGCCACCAGCCTTCCCGGGCGCAAGAAGTCGGTAGCGACCATATCCAGGTTGCACGCGAGCCTCCGGGATGACGAGTCCCCGCGGCCCTGGCCCTGCCCACAGCAGCCGTGCCCTTTTCTGGTGACAGAGGCGTCCTGCCCGTCTGCTCTACGTGCTGAAGCCCACCCACGTCTCCCCTGCCGTGCAGCCCACTCTGATGGGAAGGGGCTGGCGGAGCTGCCCTGGGAAGCGTACACCCGTGACGGCCTCAGGACAGAGGGCAGTGACCCGGCCAGGCCAGAGCCTCCCTCGGTCCTGCACCTGAGCCCTGGGGAGGGACCCAGGGCTGCATTCCTCCATGATTAAATGGCTCACATTGCCTGCCACTAATTAGTATGATCGACGCCGAGCAAGTCCACAGCAGAGCAGCCACGGGCAGCCCTGGACACCGGGGCCCGATGTGCTGCTAACTGGCCACGTGGTAACTCCACGGACAACAGGGGTGGCGGGCCCCGCTGCCCGGGGGGCGCGTGCACCATGAGCCCTGGCTTCCTGCAGCCAGAGTGCAGAGACGGATGGGCGGGGTGCCGTGAGCGATTATGTGGCACCTCACTCCCATGACACTCCATGGCCGTCCCGAAGGTCAAGGTCCCACACAGTGGCTGTGGGGTCCAGCCCGGGGCCAGGGGCCTCAGGGCGACGGTGGGGCTGGGGTGAGGGTCGAGGTTGTCCCTGTGAAGACAGGGCACGGTTAGGGCAGGGCGGAGGGTCCCTGGGGCCTCAGCCAATCGCGCCCCATGGCCATCCCACCCGGCCGGCCGGTCGGAGCGTCGGGCCGGGGGCTGCATCGCCAGGGGCACGCGGGGGGCCTGCCGTGTCTGCCGGGCTCTGGTGGGGGGCTCAGGAGCCGCAGGGACCTCGGGCAGCCCTCCCGGGGCACTGCCTTCCCCACGTTGGGAGCCGGCCTCGGCTCGCCGGCCAGCACACGCAGCTCGGCCCCGAAACATGTCTGTCAGCTTAAGTCAGGGAACTGAAGAAGCCTCGACTCGCCGTCCCCACGATCGGCCAGCCCCGGGCCGGCAGACACAGGGGCCGGCGTCGCCCCCCAGACGCGCCATCTCGGTGGTGGCTCCGCGCCTTCCGCGGAACCCAAAGTTATACAGCATCTGCATCCGGAACAGCAGGAGCCGCCCCAGCCCGCTCGGCGCTGATGCCCGAGCAACGGCTGGGGGAGTGGACGCCGTGGCCGGAGGGTTCCGACCCTGCCCGCCGCGCTGCCTCCCTGCCCGGGCCCACCCGCCACGCAGCCCCGGGAAACGCAGCCCAACTTCTCACCTATTCAGGCAGAGGCAGCAGGAGCCCCGGCGCTGCGCCGCGCGGTGCCGACGGGCTGTGGCGAGTTCTCTGTGCCGGGGAGCAGTTTTCCATTCCGAGCTAGCAAGTGGAGTTATCAACAGATTGCAAGACTGCAGCCCGGCCACGGCGCCACGGGCACTGCACCGAGAGAGTGAGTCAGAGCCAGGACCCGCAGACATTCAATGCAATTCTCCGCGGGTGGCTTCCAGAGCTCCGCGTGGGGACCGCCAGCCGCCTCTGCGCCTGCTTCGGAGGGCGGGCGACAGCCGGGCACGGGGACCGGGCCGGGAAGCAGGAGCCGTAACCATGGGGATGGGGGAGGCGCTGATGGCGCTGGGCGGGCTGTGGCCCGGCTCCCTGCGGCAGGGCAGAATGGTTCTTCCCAGCCCCGCCGGCCGCCCGGCACACTGCAGAGCCGATTTAAAGGGACAACCGGCCAGGTTTTGCCTCCGCTTCCAACAGAATCGGACAACTCACATTAAAGCACTTCCCTGAAAGGAGGCAGAAGGAGGACTGGATGATTTCACTTTATTTTTAAAGAAAATCCTTGTCCATTGAAGGCTCCAGGAACAGAAATGTGAGCAAGAAACCAGAGTTCAGAGGAATTCTCATAGTCCTTGTATTAAAATATTCCACATCCAAATTGCCTGCCGGTGTGGGTGGGCCGTGGCCTTGCACAGAGAGGCCCCCGCCCCATCCAGGGTCCTGGCCCAGCCCCCCGTCGGGCCGGGTGCTGGGGGGTGGAGGACAGGTGGGACCCGGGGACGAGGGTGGGCTTTGCAGCCAGCACGACCCCTGTGAGGGCTTCTGGCTCTGTGCCCCCAGTCAGGTGCGGCTGGGGGGCCTGGGGACTGTGCTCGGCAGACACGTGTGAGCTTGGGGGAGGCCCACGCTCTTCCCTCCCGGCTGGAAGGTCAGGACACTGGTGCCTGCTCGGGAGAGCCCCCCCCCAATTCTGGAGGGCCTGGGCCTGGACTCCGGGGCATCACTAGGATTCACGACTTTCTCAGCTCGTGGCCCTTGCCTCTGGGGGCTGTGTTCCCCATGCTTCTCTGTGGGACGCAGTGATGAGGCCTCGGATTTGGACAAGGAATGTGAAACCCAGAGGGGTGAAGAGTGTGCGGCAATGTGGGTGTCCGCCCCCAAGCCCTGACCCGCCCCAGCTTTCCTGGATTGCTCCCCTGGGGGTGGGGGGCCCCGGCTTTTGTTCTGGACAAGTGGGGCAAGGAGGAAGGCGGGAAAGCCTGCTGTGAGCTCAGGGTTCAGCCCAGACTGCTGGGCGGCCCCATGGGGCTTGTCCACCTGTCGATCCCTCCACAAAGACCGTCCACGTTCAGGGCATGACATGAACACGGGCCAATCCCTCACCAGGGCTCCCAGCCCGGAGATGGCAGAAGGGTGGTGGGAAGGGCACAGAGGAGGGGCATTGCTGGCGGCCGCCGGCAGTCTCTTGCTCTGTGCACAGCCTTGTGCTCCGTCCCAAGAGCCTGTGATTTGCCCTGGCCTCAGAGCAGAGGCGGTAGGACCAGAACCAGGGCCTCCTGAATCCCAAAAAGGCAGCTTCTGGGAGAACTTACAGAAGAGGCTATTGGGAGGCAGAGGACCGGGCCAGCCCAGCCCTGGATGCCCCCAGCAGCCCCTCTAGTCAGGCCTCAGTGCTGCCCTCGAAGGGCACGTCCAGACCCTGCACTCTGTGGCCTGCATCCAGGGGGCCACACCCAGACTCCACACCTGGGTGCAGGTGGGGTGTCCCTCTGGAATCGCTGGGCTGCCCCACACTGAGGGCTGTCGGAGGAGCCTCATCGGAGGGCCTCTGGCTTTGTGAGGGGCACCGCTACCCCCACCCGCCCACACCTGCCCTGCCATCGCCCCTCTGGGTGCCCGGTGCACAGCCTCAGGACTGCACACGGCAGGACATCTGTTACGGACCCAGGCCTGGGGCAGCAGGTGGGGGCGGGGCACGGCATCCCCTCACACATGCCAGAGGCCATCTGTACCCAGCACAGGGCAGCACAGCTGTGAGATGGGGAAACAGGGGCACCAGCGGTCAGACTCCCTTTGCTGTCGTTCCATGGAGCCTGCCTGGTTGTCCCCCTGCCCCCCCGCCCCCGGAGAGTCAGGGACTGTGGGTCCAGGGCTCAGTGTGACCGGCCATCGTGGAGAGCCTCAGATCTTCTCTCTAATGAGAACAAGGAGGGACCCTGCTCGATATGGCTGCACGGAAGTCATGGCACCATGCTTGCTCGGGAGGGACGTGCCCCCATGTTGCTCTTGGGGCCTCAGAGGATCGGGGCCACAGAGACAGTTGTCACATACTTCTCATCGCTCCCAGCGCACCAAAGGCTCTGAGCGAAACAAGTGTTCTAGGGCTCAGGCCTTCTTACGGCACCAGGCACTCGCTTCTGATACTTGCAGGGGGGCGGGGGGGCGTGTCTCAGTTCTTTCCAGGACCAGCGTCTCCGCAGGGAGCTCTTGGCTCCGCTTCCTGCAGGAAGGCCAGGGTTCTGGCACATTCTGAGTTCAGGCCTCTGTACAGAAGGGCTCACCGCAGGCGTGGGTCTGCGCTCTGTCCGCGTGGGAGGCAACACTGACCTCTGGACGTCCAGCCCTGACCTCCTATCCGCTGCCTGAGCTGTTCGTTCCACTGAGAGTGGTTTCCTTCGTCTGGGGAAAGTTGTTTCTGACTCAGAGGTGGACGGCTGGGGCTTTCTGTGCAGGACAGCACGGCGGCCTGCTCAGGCCCCGCGTGGGACTTCCAACTAGGGGTTTGCCTAGTCAGGGAGCGTAGCCCCAGGGGGCCGAGTCCGCCCTGCTGCTCGGATCGAGCTGGCTGGATGCTTCTGCCGTGCTGAACGGCCAGTGTCCAGTGTCCTGGGTCCCTACGACCAGGGCACGTGCTTGGTGGGTGGCCTTTCTCTGCACCTGCCGGCTTCCGGAACCGGCAGCCATTCACGGGAGAGGAGGAAACAGTCTGAGGAGGACGGTGGGGCCGCCTCAAGACCAGCCTCACAGTGGATGGAATCGAAGGGTGACGGACGGCTGGGGGTGTCAGCACGGTGACGGAGCCAGTACAGAGGGGCTCGGGGAAACTCCGGTGCTGACTTCCCTCTGTCCGTGGGGAGCGCCAGCTCAGGTGGCTAGAATGGCTCAGGCCAGACTTGCCTCCTCTCAGAACATTTTGGGGACTTTTGCGGGTACCCGCTTTCCAGCCACCGCAAGGGTCCTGGGACCCTGAAAGCAGAAGCCCACGGTTGCTGGAGACGTGCTTCCGGGTGAGAGCGCAGCCTGGCCCTGGGGGGTGCAGGACGCGGGCTCTCGGCGCACTTAGCATCCGAGGCTCACGAAGCGGAATCAAAACCGGCTCTCCCGTTGCCGTGGCAACCAGCCCCGCCCCCTCAGGCGTCAGTTTGCATCTGTGCAGACCATTTCTCACAAAGATTTGCCTCAACAGATTCATTCTGCCCTGAAGTGGAGCCTAGTTTGAGACCCAAACGATGAAACTAACAAACTTGTCCAGCTCCCAGGAGGAGTCAGGCCGCTGCCCAAGGCCACGGGGAGGTCACAGGGAGGCCACGGGGCGTTTCGTGCTACCTCCCATCTACCAGACCATTCGCAGTCTGTGGAAGTGTTTTCAGGGTTCACCTCTGGAAGGTGTCCTGCGGGGTCGGGCTCCAGCGTGGGGGCAGTCTGAGCAGGGCCCCCCCCAGGGCTCCTTGGGCCCCAGCCCCTTGCAGACTCTGGGGGGCAGGCGGTGGGGGGGCACGCAGCACCCCCAGGTTGCTCTTGTGTGTTTAGTCTCGTCTCCCTCAAATCGCATTTTCTGCCCCTTCTTAGTCTTCTGACCCCAGGGGTAGGACACACAGCAGCCACATGGGCACCACCCAGGGGTGCTGTCCGTGACCAGGAACTCAGGGAGCCGCACCCACACCTCCTGGGCTCGACGGTGGCCCAGAACCCCAGCCACAGGCAGGGGCGAGTCTGCTGGGGGGAACTTCGCACGCAGCAGTGCGTTCGTAGGGTGAGAGCTGGTCACCTGGGGGTCGGGGCCGCCAGGAGGGGCGGCAGGGCACCAGCCCGGAGTTGGCTCCGTGGAGACGGGAGGGTGTGTGTCTCCTGCAGACGTGCGGCCGTCCTAACCAGGGCCTGTGTGTGGGCTTTTCCCGGTCAGACCACTGCTTCCCGCCCAGCTGGCGTCGCGGCTGCACACAGGACCAAGACAGAAGCGGGAACACCCAGGGCTCCGATGGTTTTACACCAGGACTAGTCCAGTTTCCAGACCTGAACAGTTAACCAGAAGTTAGTGCTTCCTGAAGGCTGTGGGCCGGCTGGGACGGGGGCCGGTGTCTTGGGGCCCGACACTCTCTGTGGGCCCAGGTTCCCATCTGGGGCCCCTGTGGGTGGGGTGGCTCCGGGGGTCCCCTTCTACGAGGGCCGTTCCCTGCAGCCCCGTTCAGGGTGGCAGACGCAGGCGGAGCTCGGGGTCCTGCTCAGAGGAGCCTGGGAGTCCTGCCCCCTCGCACGTGCCCTCCGTCCAGCACCCGCATCTACTGCCGTGACTTGTCACCCCCTGGTGCCCTGTGTCTGTGAGGGTCAGGCCCAGAGCAGTCCGTGCAGCGCCCGAGGGGATGTGTCTGTGCTGTGCGGGGTGCAGCCTCTTCCTGGCGACCGGCCCGGGAGATCAGCCACCGAGGAGCCCTCGACCCAGCTCCAGCCTCTTGGCCCCGCCGTCTGACCTGCTTGGCCTGCACCGGTCCTGGGGGCACGTGGCCCTGCCAGGCTGCCGGTCCAGCACGGCCCGGCTCAGCCCGGCCTCGCCAGCCTCCTCCTCGCTGCTGCCTGGTGCCTCCTGCCAAGGCTTCTTGCGCTTGGGCCAAAGCAATTTTACCAGATTAGACGTGGTCAGAAGCAAGTTGTTCCGCCTGGCAGTTCTGTTAAAATAATGATTTGTCTGAAAATTAATATTCCCGAGTCACTGGTTCTCTGGTATTAGCGGTTTTGGCACACCACAAGACAGTCTTCTAGTGCTTGATATCTTGAAGCATTTCTTCCTCTCCTTTTAAAATATCCTTGAGCATAAAAATAATCTTTATTTTTAATTTCCAACAGTTTGTCAGCCAGATATTCTTGCTTTAAGCTGTTGGAACAGCAGAGGTTTGGGACGATCTGGGCACCTAAGAGC